AAATAATAAATAGACAGTTCATGGAGGTTAGCTTGCCCAACATGAACAGAAACTTTTATAAGCTATTTTTTTGTATACGCTAAATATATAACAATCAAAATAATACCAAAACCTTACATTTATGACATCCACATTGTAAAAAAAAACAAAGAAAAAGATAAATAATTATAATAATAAAAAAATAAAATCAAAAAGAGTATAGGCTACATCAATATTTGCAATAGAAAAAGAGTTGTTTGATTATAGTTGCTTTTTATTTTGAACGCCATTTAAGGGTTCTATCTGACTATTTATATTTGTTTATGTAATTTCCTAATAAATTAAAAGGTTTACCATAAAATAGTTCTTATTTATTTTATATAGTCTTTTTATATACACTAATATGTTATATTATTTTATGAAACACATTTTCATTATTTAACAGATTAAATCCCTTTATATATCACATTCTTTCTATTTCATCAGCTTTGCAATAACCAGATTCCTGATGAATATGTTTGTGAATTTTATTTTGTAAGTTTGAGTGAGTGCTATATGCCAGCATGCAGTGAGTTTATGTGTATGTGAGTGTTAATTTGGCCGTTTATGCGAGGATCGAGTACATGCAGAGATAAAGTTTATATGCATGTGTGTGTGTTAATGTGGGAGTATATGCACATATCGAGTCATGTATGTGCGTGTGTATGTGGATGTAAGTAAAAATAATTTAGGGCAGTCCTATTTATTTTATTCATTTTATTTAGATTATTCTGCTCTTCTGTGCTAAACACTGCAGGTGCGTGAAGATGCTCTGTTGTTCTGTTCCGCTATTAACATATAAAAATATATCAGTATTTTAAAATGCAATATTTAATGTGTCATACACAAAATAGACACGTCAATTTATTTAATATAAAATTAATAGTAATCTGACCAGTTAACCGTTAATAACCGATTAATGAGAGGCGGTTGTCGGTTAGCAAAATTAAGGAAATGAGCATCCCTAGCTATTTAATTTACTTTTTCTTTGTAAGAGAACTTGATTGAAAAATAATTTTCAACATGCTTGAACCATCTAAACAATGGAGTTTAGTTCTGATGGTTTTTCAACAGTATTTTGTTACAAAGAAAACAGAAGTGATATAGCTTTGGCTATTTATTTATTTTATATATGGCTATTTATATTGTTAATAATTTGCATAGTTAATATTGTTCTTTGATGTTTAGTTTATAAAGATTTTTCAAATGTTATTTAATTAAAAATAGTTTTAAAAATCTTTTTTTTCCCCACCCCACACGAAAAAAATAATAATATGCAATATGCATGCATCAAGTTTATATGTATATGTTTATATGTTGATTTCGGTGTCGGGAAGGAGGATGGTGGTGAGGCGACAGGTTGGTTTAAACTAATATGATGCCTCATCTTCTGTCATTGCTTCTGATTCTCAGTATGTTCTGTCGGGTGGAAGAGATTTGATGTGTTCCCGCTGCTAGTCTGCAATACTCGCGCACCTCATGAAACAGATAAGGCTTTTATACTTGGTACGTTCACCTTTATTATATTCTTTTAAATGACAGGGGGCGATGAAAAGAAACAGACAGTAAAAGCAGACGGACAAACAGAGAAGTGGAAAGTTTCCGGAAGTAGGTCGTCATTAATATCATTGAAGATTTTAAATTTAATTGTTTTAATTATTTTTATAATTTATTAAATCTAAATGATGCATTACTTGCTTTTGTTTATATTAAAGTTAAAGTTAAATATTAATGGCAACAGAACTTACATTGCTCTACAGTTATTTTTTTTATTATGGCAAAAATAAAAACAAAAAAAGTACACTCACTAAAAATACTGACATTTTTTAATATTTTATTTTGCCCACTCAACAATTCACACATCACAGTCTGGCTAGTTTCTGTCCTCTACTTATAAGCTAAAAAGGCAATAATGGTCCAACATTGCTGACCTATATCACCAATTACGCCTAGAGAAACAGGGCATCAATGTATTGTAAACTGATAGGTTCATATATTCCTTTCCAGTTACAGTTGAAGTCAGAATTATTAGCCCCCCTGTTTATTTTCCCCCCATTTCTGTTTAAAGGAGAGGGTTTTTTCCCCCCAACACATTTCTAAACATAATAGTTTTAACAACTCATCTCTATTAACTGATTTATTTTATCTTTGCGATGATGAAAGTAAATAATATTTGACTAGATATTTTTCAAGACTTTTCTATACAGCTTAATGTGACATTTAAAGGTTTAACTAGGTTCATTAGGTTAACTAGGCAGGTTAGGGTAATTGGGCAAGTTATTGTATGACAATGGTTTGTTCTGTAGACTATTGGAAAAATATATTGCTTAAAGAGCCCATATTATGGGTTTTTGAAAATTCCCCTCCATGTAGTGTGTAACACAGCTCTAAGTGAAGTGAAGTATCCAGCTAAGGCTTAAATCTGTAAGAATACAGTGTTTAAAACGGTTGATTCATCTATAAAAGAGTCGACTCATAGTGCTTCAAACGAGTCGCCTTGATACCGATTCATTAGGTGTTTCGCCATGACGTACGAACGAAACCAAGTTATTCACGTGCACGCGCAAACCCGGGAGATTTCAAACCTGAGGCCCCGCCCTCTGACGCAGAAACCCAGAGACAGACACACACACACACACACACACAAACATGCCGGTGGATTGAAGTCACACTGCAGATGGATATATTGAGTCTCTACCCAAAGATGAAACCTCAGCATTATAGCCAAGCAGTTGGAAACTACTGGAAACTTCTGGAAACTACATGCTACAAAGAATACTTCATCAGCGTTTGTTAAAGGAAGGATCAGTAAATAGTAACTTACTGATGGACGTCAGGATGGATTTTTCTTCCTCCATTTCTCAAGTGTAAGTACGTGCGATTAAAGTTGCCTCGTTGACTCTAGCTTGCAAATGTATTTAGTTGTGATTTGTTACTTGTAACCGCGTGTACTGTATCAGGTTAACTGGCTATATTCTCTTATCGCGTGCAAAGTCACGTTAAAAACGCGATGCGTGCTGCTTTTTTAACGGAGCTCCGTGGACGGGGAGTAGTGTGTGTGTCTGTGTGTGTGTGTGTGCGCGCTGTCGTCCGGAGGTGTGTGTGTTTGTGTGTGTGCGCGCGCGCGTTGTCGTCCGGAGCAGGGTTAAGTGCGTGTGTGTGTCTGTGGAAAGAGCAGAGTGAGAAGCTAGGAGATCTCCTCAACTGTTTTTGAGTTTTTGCTCAGTAAAATAGTTAGTTGTCTGTATTTTCAAGTCCATAGTCTGTATTTACATTGATCCACTGGCAGCTAAAATCCACGCCTACACTATCGAGCGTGTATGAACTGTGATTACTTTGATATTGCTGATTAGCTGTTTCGCATTTCACTCTCTGACTGAAGGCAGTCGACCAATCGCAACAGACTGTCATTGGTCCAATCAGCGCAGATTAGCTTCGCGCTAAGGAGGGGTTTGGGAACAAATGAATCACTGGACGATTCATACAGGAGTCGCTGGGATAATTAGGTAAAAATAAATGCAGATTATAAGACCACGAAAGTGTTTTTTGACCTTGCATGCATATTAAATTGTTGTTGGAGACCCTTACAACCAAGATATGACCCTATTTCATGTATAATATGGGCTCTTTAAGAGGAATAAAAATTTTGACTTAAAATGTTTTTTTTTAATTAATAACTGCTTTTATTCTAGCCCAAATAAAACAAATAAGATTTTTTTTCAGATGAAAAGACTTTTTCAGATGAAAAAAATATTATCAAAATTTCCTTGTTCTGTTAAACGTCATTTGGGAAATATAATAAAAACAAAAAATTCAAAGGGGGCTAATAATTTTGACCTCAACTGTAGCAAAGACATAATTTGTTACTTAATTTTAGTTTATAACTTATAAATTGTTTTAAATTCAAAATTGCAATTTATACATCAGTGTACAACCTATGACTGGTGGAAAAACATATTGTGTAATATTAAAACCACCCGTGACTCCACTTTTGCCATGGCCTTTGTTGTTTGTTTGAACAAACTTATCCCTTAGGTTTTTCTAAACTTTCCTCCTTTCCTACTTCTGTTGCAATTTCTAGCCAATAATTATTGGTCATCTGATTCTCCCTATGATCACGCATGGACGGATTGTTAAGATGTCATACAGTACCTGTTTCAGACAAAATCTCTTCAAAGTGTTTCATATTTAACAAAAATCAAACGCAGCATCGCATGAACTATTCACTCAAGTCTGAAAACATTTCGTGAGCTCCGCCAGCCGAAATCATGTCGCATTTTTAAGGCCTTAAATTTCGATTTTTATATTTTAGACTGTTTAAGACCCCATGGAAACCTTGCAAATGTATAAGATCTTATAAATATAAAAATATTTGCAAATTTATATCGAAATAAAGGAAATGAGTTAAAAATCATATCACTGTTACTGAAAAAAAATTCTATCGTGATATATATTCATATCGAATTTTTGTCAGCCCTAAATGAAAAAAGACAAGACTGCCTGACTCTCTTGCGTGTGTAGTTACAATAGCAATCCAACGTTCCCCTCAGAATTTCCAACAAGCTTATTTTAATACGAAATTAAAGCCTAAACAAACATGAAGTACAATTGTGGTGCAGCATTAAGAGTGACTGACATGAGGCATGTCTTTGCATGACCACAGTGTGTGTGCAAACTCGCTTTCAGAAAGGAGAGACAGAAAGTGCTTACTGCTGTGGGGCTGCCTCTGATGAAAAAAACAAACAAAAAAAAACTCTTAAATAAAGAAAAGAGGTAGAGAAAGCCCAGCTGATATTGCTTTATTGATCCTGTGGGAAAGCAATAATGAACCGGTTTAAATATTTTTGCATAATATGTTGAAAAACTACATTGACAAAACTTAAACCCAAAAGATTCATGGCTTTGGAAAATACATTTAGGGCTGAAGCCACAAAAGCCCAACAAACCCCTCGCTCAACCCCTGATCAGGAATAAACACCAACCTATTTGTTGTTCAGAGTCTTCATTTTTAATTTTGCAGGGTTCTGGATCACTCATTTTCCTGCTTTCCTTCAATAAACTCTTCACTGGAGCCTGATGGGAATATTCCAGTGTTTATAGCTGAACTAGAGGAGGAGGGAGCTTCACTGGAGGAGGAGACATATATTCTAATTACATGTTATTTGAATATATTTATATTTTAATGCCATTATTAGCAGCACTATCTATATTCATGGCAACACTTGTATTAAATATTCAATATATAATTGACAATCATAAATCTTTCTGAAACATCAATAATTGTTTTTTTTTAAACACACAAATAACAACAACACTCAATATCTTATAAGCTCTTTCAGTCTGATCAATGATAAAAAAAAAAGTCCTCCAGAAAACACATTTTTAAACATTTGCCTTAAAAATATTTCCTGAATAAAAACATTCTCTAACATCATTAAAAATATATACATTCTATTAAGTTACACATAGGTTTTTAATGTGTGCAAGTCTTCAGTGGCTGATTCTACATGTGATAGAGGTAAAGTTGGTTTTCTATTGGGTTATTCAGACATTGACTTTAATAATATAATTTCATAAAAGTAGTTTTTGCTAATGCTAAATAGAGAAATAAAAGCAGCCAATGACTATCAAAGTACAACACTATTGACAGTGAATTAGTGTTAATGTTGTTTTGAAGTCACACTCGAATGCTAATTTGAATATTCAAAGTAACACGGTAAAAAAATAAAGACGACTTTAAAACAACATAAGAACTATCTGGTAGACTGTAAACAATGTTGTGATTTGATAATCATTGGCTGCTAAAATGATTTATAGGGGTAAAGTTGGTTTTATAATCACACATTCATTTATTTAGAAGTCTCTATATTGTTTACCATGTTACTTTAAATATTCGATTGGAATTGGCATGCAAGTATGAGTTGAAAACAACATTAATACTGTTTATTTGACTTTGAACTATCTAACGTTAATAGACTGTAAACAATGTTGTACTTTGATAGTCATTGGCTGCTAATATGATTTCCCTATTTAGAATTTGCAATGAATATTTTTCTGAAATCATATTATTAAAGAGAATGTCTGAATATCCAAATATAAAACCAACTTTACCCTGTAGATGACCCGCGATTAACTGTTAACGCATTACAGAAGTGTTTAAAGCGTAGCATCGAGCTAAAAACAAGAGAGTATATTAGCATTAAGCACATAGTAAAAGTAGAAAGCCGCAAGATAGCAAATCTGCAAACACTACAAAGGTCAGATATAATACACTTACTTTAAATAGACGCACAACACTCGTAACATAAGTGGAATTAAAGGTGATAAACAGCAAACAAACCTCTCCACTCTCTGCCTCAGACTGAGCGCCATGGGCGGGGTATTTGCCTGCACGCAGATCAGGGAAAGCTGATTGGCTGTCTGTATGTGGCTCAGATAAAGCTGATTGGCTGTCTGTTTCCCAAACAATCTCCTGACAACAGAGAGAAACATTGGTGGACAGAATAAATTTTTCTTCTTTTTCAGCCTTTTTTATAAAATGGAAAACGAGGGAGAAATGTATCAGTAAGTGATGACTGCAACAGTAAGAGTAAAAAAAACCAAACAAAAGACTTTTATTCTGCCGTGGCGTGTGGCGTTATGAGGCTGCGCCACTCATTCGATGTGATTCAACTGGAGAAAGGTTTGTTGTAAAGCTTTTACATGAATATAAACCGATTAAAATAAAGTTTCAGGTTTTTCATCTAATGCTAGTTTATGTACCTGTTGACACTATTATTTTAACCCTTTATACAACATTTTACTATTTTACTCACAGTAATGAGGGCTATTGTTTGAATAAAGTAACAGAAGCGTGTGTAATAAGTGTTTTAATGAAAGTTTAATTTATTAGATAGCATAATGTCATTCCATTCTAAGTATACATCACTATATATAAGAGATAGAGTACTAGTTTTAATCAGCTCATTTGTGGCTATTGTTACTTGCTCAGACTTTCCTGATTTATTTTTGTTAATGACTCGCATATAAAGACTGTTGAAGTAAGTGTTGAAGAGAAGTTATTTTGATTCTGCTCATTGTTTTATTTATTTTAAACCGAACATTTTTTTTGTTTTGTTCATTTTAAACAGGATAAAGTGTCCAAACGCAGAGAAAAACTCCTGCTGAAGTGACTGATCTCCACACTGTTATAAAGATGGCGTTTATTAAAGAGGAGAGTGAAGATGTGAAGATTGAAGAAACATTCACAGTCAAACAGGGAGATCCACAGGAACAAACAGGTTGATTTTCATTCTCAAACACCAACTCAGTCATTTGATCCTCATTCAGATATATTTTAATAATAAGAATACTAAATTAAATCCATCTTGCAGCCCTGAGTATGCTGCCTAGTTCTCCTAAATGCACATAAGCACTCATTGAAAGACAGGAATGGGTTTCTTTCATTACTGTTCTCATGTCTTTTGTCATTATTTTATGTATTATTAGTCTCCCACTTTCTCTACTTTTTTAAGGTTATTGCGTTTCTTGTTCTCCTACTGTTTGTAAAGCGTCCTTGAGCACAGGCGATATATAAATAAAAACAATAAATAAAAAAGTTTAACTGAGCTGAATATATTTGACCAACAGTATTCTCATAGAAGATATCTGCTATTACAGTGGTAGTGTTGGCTTAGTACTTTCCATACGTCATGTTTATCACAATTCCCCTTTTTCGTCAACTTCTTTATGGGTTTAAACTTGTTTGTAGTACTTGTTACTAGTTCTCACAGATAGTATCTGAGTTAGAATCTGAGTGGGTTTCCTACGTGCTCCGGTTTCCCCCACAAATCCAAAGACATGTGGCACAGGTGATTTGGGTAGGCGAAATTGTCCATGGTGTGTGTGTGTGTGAATGAGTGTGTATGGGTGTTCCCCAGAGATGGGTTGCAGCTGGAAGGGCATCCACTGCGTAAAACGCAAATGCTGGATAAGTTGGCTTTTCATTCCGCTGTGGCGACCCCAGATTAATAAAGGTACTAAGCTGAAAAGAAAATGAATGAATAAATGTTTTGTATTATTAAATGTATTAAACTATAATTCTTTTTTATAGGACAAATACAAAATCTGGTCTATTTGAAAAATTCCTTAGCCTTTAGCCTTTTATGTGTCTAAAATTTCATTCATAATGGTCCTAAAAGTCTTAAATTTAACTTGGTAAAACCTGCAGAAACCCTGGTTTAAAGTACGTCAAAAAACGTGGATGCCCCAATATTAAACATGCTGAATGAAATGAACACTAAAGTAATTAATTATTATAAAACATTGTACAGTATTCTAAACTATATTGATGTTGCTGTGGGACGACATGAGACAAAACAAACAAATTATAGTGGAACAATAACGTTCGGCATTGCCAGTGGTGGATTTAAGCATGGACAACATGGGAAGACGGTGCAAAAAAAAAAAAAAAAAACATCCCCTAGTAAAAGCATTGAGATACGATTACTATGCAAGTGTATTAAAGGTTCAGTAGGAGATCTTCCACAATGCCCCTCGTGGGGACCCGGGGTAGAATAGGTCCCCAGCACCCCCTTGCTGATCGTAAGAGGCGAAAAATGGGGCAACTTGTTTCAGCCGTGAGTTGTGACCCGTGTCAGTGGAAAAAGAGATCCTGGTATTTGAGGAATGTAACTGTTGCGACTATTGCAGATCCAACACAGTACTTTGGCTCCTATTTCACTTAGACGGGAGGTTGGAAGGGCCCGATCCAATCAATCGGCTAGTCAAGAAATGCCCTGGATTATTTAACTTTTTTAAACATCTAGCAAATTTCCAGAAGGCTTTGGCTGAGGGTCAATTGAGTAATGCATATTTTTAAATATGCTTGCTTGAGTATATCATTCTTATATCCTTGATGTATACCCGGTGGAGATCCGCGGCTCTGTGCATCCCCTTGTTGGGCTCCGAGGTGGGTGAGGAGTAAGAGTGATGAATCTGAAATCATACAAAAATGGCAAACAAACAAAACCCAAAAAGAAAATTATCGGATCAGGACTTGGATTGTAACTTTGGAAATGGCATCAGTCTACTACCTAAAAGTGAAAACTGGCAGAGATTTATACTTCTAGAATCTCTACAATCTGACATGCCACTCTCTAAACTGTCTCCTTTTGCTATTCAAAAAGGCATCTCTGGGATTGCAGGAACAGTGAAAGATTGTAAAAAACTAAGATCTGGACAAATTCTTGTTGAATGCTCCAAAAAGGTTCAAGCAGAAAACCTACTACGTGCAAATATGCTTGCTGGTGTTGCTATGAAAACTTTTCACCATCCAACTTTAAATCATAGCAAAGGAGTAATCCGTACCAGAGAGCTAGAAGACATGGAAGAGACTGAAATTACTACAGAGTTAATGACTCAAGATGTAATACATGTTAAAAGAATCACAATCAGGAGAGAAGATCGTCTAATAAAAACAGGAACCTATATTTTAACATTCAGTAGACCTCTACCTCCAGAAAAGATTCAAATTGGATACTTGAGTGTTAATGTTGACATTTTTACACCTAATCCACTCAGGTGTTTCAGCTGCCAAAAGTTTGGACATGGATCGATTTCTTGCAAAAACAGGCCTACTTGTGTAAACTGTGGATAGGAAAAACATGGTGATCAATGTAAAAAAAACACCAAAGTGCAGCAACTGTGCAGGAGAACATCCAAGCTCATCCAAAGACTGTCCTACCTGGATAAAGAAAAAGAAATCCAGAAAATCAAGTGCACCAAGAAGGTGAGCTATTTGGAAGCTCGAAAGCTTGTAGAGAACTCCTCATTCTTTAAATTGGAAAAAACTTTTGCTGCTGTGATGAAACCAAAACTGCAGTCTGTCGGCGTTCAGACAGATTTGACGTGGATAAATGAAAAATTTGAAGAAATAAAATCTCAAACTCCAGTAAATACTAAGTGTACTTATCATTAAAGTCAGACTGTACTTCATCAAACTCAAGTAAATCACAAAGAACATTCATCTACAGGACAACACTCATCCGAAAACAAAAATGACAAAAAACCAAATCCTCAAAAAGCAAAAACAAGCCAAGAGTATAAGAAGATGAAGACCAGCAGCTCAAAAGACATCGAAATGTCAGACGACAAAAAACCTCGAAGTCGGAGCACTTCTCCTAAAACTAAAACCAAAGGGCACTCGTATGTCTTACCAACTTGACAGTGGAAAGTCATATTATTCAGTGGAACTGCCGTGGCATAAGAGCCAATTTTTCTGAATTACAACGTCTTGCTTGCATTTATAATCCCCTGGCTTTCTGTCTCCAAAAGACCCATCTTACTCCAGAGAGCAATATATCTCTGAAACATTTTACATGCCTAAATGCATATGGCCCAAACCTTCAACGTCCTTGTGGTGGAACATCAATATTACTTAGACATGATGTTATTCATAGTAATGTTGACATAAATACAAACCTACAAGTAGTGGCAGTCCGTATAACTTTGCAAAATACTATTACTCTATGTTCTGTTTATATTCCCCCAGAAGCTACTGTCTCACATCAAGATTTGGAAAATCTGGTGGAACAAATCCCCCCTCCATTTATTCTCATGGGAGATTTTAATGCTCACAATCCTATGTGGGGAGGAAAACAACTTGATGCAAAGGGAAAGAAGATGGAAAAACTAATTAATGAAAATGACCTGTGTCTTTTAAATGATGGTTCATACACATACTTACACCCAGGACATGGATCCTTCTCTGCCATTGACTTAACAATATGTGATGCAACTTTAGCCACTGACTTCTCATGGTATGTCTGCAATGATCTCTGTGGAAGTGATCTCTTTCCTTTGATTATAACCAAAACAGCCGCAGATATACAACAGAGACCCCAAAAATGGAAACTTGAAAAGGCAAATTGGTACTCATTTCAAGCCCTTTGTTATGAGAGACTTGATGGCAAGCAACAGGATAAAGAAAATCCAATCAAATGGTTCACAGAAAAAATTATTGAAATAGCAGATGAATCTGTACCAAAAACATCGACAAAACAGAGCAAGAGAAGGAATCCTTGGTTTGATGACCAATGTAAAGAACTCATTAAAGCACGGAAAAAAGCAGTAAGATGTTTTCAAAACATCCAACTTCTGAAAACCTTATCAGGATAAAAATTTGCAGAGCACAGGCACGGAGATATATAAGAGAAGCAAAGAGACAGAGCTGGAATAAATTTGTGTCAAGCCTGACAATAAATACACCATCAAAGAAAATATGGGATGCAATTCGGAAAATGAAAGGAAGAGAGGGACCACAACTAAAACACATCGATAATCACGGCACTCTGCTGACTAGTAAACATGACATTGCTAATATACTTGCAGAAACCTTTGCAAAGAATTCCTCTACAGAAAACTATCAGCCAAATTTCCAAAAAATCAGAACTAACCAAGAAACAATTAAATTAAATTTCATTTCCCAAAACACAGAGATCTACAATCAACCTTTTTCTATGGAGGAACTTTTAAACTCTCTAAAGTGTTGCCATGACACAGCAGTCGGACCAGACAAAGTACATTATCAGTTTTTAAACATCTTCCCCAATTGAGTCTTTGCCTCCTCCTGGATAATTTCAATGAAATTTGGAAATCAGGAAATATCCCACCATCATGGCAAGAAGCCACCATAATTCCTTTACCAAAACCTCGGAAGGAACATGAAGACCCCAACAATTACAGACCTATAGCATTGACGAGCTGCGTATGTAAAACTATGGAGAGGATGGTAAATAACCGACTTGTCTGGAAGCTTGAGTCCGATCATCAGATAAGTGATTTCCAATGTGGTTTCAGAAGAGGAAGGTGTACATTAGATCATCTCATCAATCTGGAGTCTTACATACGAAATGGATTCATCAAAAAGGAGCATGTTGTAGCTGTATTTTTCGACCTTGAAAAAGCATATGACACTACATGGAAATATGGCATTCTTAAAGATCTGTATAAAATGGGATTCAGGGGAAATTTACCCATCTTCATTTCAAACTTTTTATCAAATAGAACTTTCCGAGATCAAGTAGGAACCACTATGTCAGACCCTCAAATACAACAGCAAGGAGTTCCTCAAGGCAGCATCCTTTCAGTGACTCTTTTTATGGTTAAAATTAATAGTGTCACGGATGTCATTGGAAGAAACATGATGTGCAGTCTTTATGTGGATGACATTTGTATATGCTACAGAGGGAAAAACATGAACATAATTGAAAGACAGCTACAGTTATGCATAAACAAAGTG